CAGCGAAGATGTGATGTGAGTTCCAAAGATCCATTCATAAATCTCAGATATCCATCATAAACAAATTACAGCATGCAAAGTTACTACTTTTATGTTTCCCAATTATTTCATTGTAAATTTACTGTTTCATTTCAAAATGTAATATAATGCTACTTATTGAAATAAAATGTATAATATCATTGTTAGAGCATTGTTAGATGTGATGTGAGTTCCAAAGATCCATTATAAACAGAATACACCATGCAAAGTTACTATTTTTTACTACTTTTACGTTTTCCAATTGTAAATTTACTGTTTCATTGAAATAAAATGTATAATGCCAAATACTGGAATGAGATGTACAATGCCATTGTTAGAGTAACGAAGATGTGATGTGAGTTCCAAAGATCCATTCATAATTTAGCTACTTTTATATTTACTTTTATATTATTTAATTTTACCGTTTCATCGATGTCACGTGTAAAATGTTAGACAAATGAATTTTGTTGGGATTTAACAAGTGAGTTTGTTAGAAATGTAATTCACCCAACAAACGTGAAGTTACCTCCAACTTTTTGCGAACGACGAAGTTCTTTCCGTCATTGTTGTCCCAGTATTCCTTCCCATCGGTACGATATCGCACGCAGAACTCTATCATGTTGGACTTCACTGGCAGAGTTAACCGGAACCGGAAGGTATCATACAGAATCAGTGCGGGAGAGCCAGGTTGTTCAACATAGGTGCAATGAACGTCCTCGTGTGTCTTCCAAGAATCGTTGCTCGCCCTGACCACGACTTCTTTGTCGTAAGCCAGATTACGTACCTTGATGGTGCCAACTAGACTCTGTTCCGATTCTCTAACTATCACATTCTCTAGGCTGACGTTCTCCTGATCGAGTTTCCGGCGAAAGGTCAGATAATCGCTCGCTGGTTGGGGGAAGGTTACCTGCCAAGGTGACACCAGCTCTGTCGTCTGGTCGTTCTCGATTTTCGAATTTAAAAGCCGTCCAGTTAATCCGGCCAGGTATGCTGTACTCCACAAAGGTGGCACGTTGCTGGGTTCCGACATCACTCGAACCTGACAATAATAACAAAACATATAACAA